AATTGTGTTGCGTTGTCAAAAAATAAAATTTGAGGGTATGCAAGTTTCCCTTCAGAAACTTTTTCAAGGACTTTCCACAATCGATTTACACCCCAAAGGGAACATACCTGCAAATTTCGAGCGAAATCGGTTTGGTTGGTTTATATGCTACTTCCCAGTACAACTCAAAACCTGCGCTCAGAACTACTTGAAACTACAGCCACTTTTGCAAACAATGGAGAGGCCCTCTGGAGAGCGCAGATGTGCTGTAGGGGTTGATGGGAGAAAGGTGTGCGATACACAACATCCCTGTGTCTTAGTACGGAGGCTTTACCCAACTACAGCAGGTAGCTATAGTGAGATGGTCCAAGACCATCATTGAGACACTACAAGTGTATGCAAGAATGAACGCTCTCCAATGCAGCATACAATATCCACAGCACCCAGAACCTGGAGTCCCTCACCATTAGCCGCACACAAACCGGGAGCAGCTTGCAAGGGCACATCACCATACGTGGACAAAAATGGTTGCTCATGCAACATAGAAACACAGGAAGCAGAGTCAATTAACGCCGTTACACACTTGCCTTGAACATGGAGATCTAGCGTAGGGACTACAGACGATACAGCCTCGATACGTACTGCATCTGCTGGCTCCTCGTGAACGACTGGGAGTTGTCCCACACCACCAGTACGTACTCAGTTTCCCGAGCGCCAAGGGTTGTGTGGGCAATCTAGAGCAAAATGGCCAGGTTGTCCACAACCACAACAAATCAGTGGTTCCACCTGACCACCACGACAATACGAATGTCCACGACCACTGCTACTACTATGAGGCTGATCAAATTCGAAACTTACCCCTGTTCGTGGAGCAACAATTTCCACACAGCTGAGTCTCTTTTCGAGGTCCGTCAACCTGCGATCAAGTTTCTCGAGCGCTTGAGCTAGTTGATCACGCACTCCAGTGTCATTAAAGGGGAAGTTAAGGCAAACATCAAAATTTCAACAGTTGTAGTCTTCGGGGTGCTGAGTCGAATGGTCTTGGTCCGAGAAAGCTGAGACGCTCCCTTCCTACTTGAATCCCAATCGAACTCGCGCACTTCCACCGAAACTGGGTGACTGCGCCCTACTAGATGGGGATTTGTATGCAAAATGTCACTAAAAGCGCCATTTCGTTCTTATAAAAGCACGGATGACCGCGATTGGCCCATATGTTGTAGTCTTTTGGACGCTGAGTCGACTGGTTTGGTCCGAAAAGGCTGCGATGCAGCGTTCCTCCTTTACTCCCAATCGAACATGGTTGAAGAAGCGGTCACGTGCGGTTTGACATAACTTGTAAAAATGTATAGGCAACTCTTGCACCTTTGTACAACTTTGCTGTAGAAAAGGTCAAAATCGTACACCAAATCGATTGTCGCATCGCATCGCATCGCAAAAGTTGAGCCAAGCTCAACTTCTGCGATGGCCTGCGATGGCCCAGTTGCGGCAGTTGCGTGGGGTGCGACATGGCTGCGATTTGGGTTTTTCCCGGTTTCGCGTCTGTCGCATCGCGTGTCGCATCGCAAAAAAGCTTCTGTGAATCCCGCTTTAGCGGTCAAATATATCGCGTATTTGACTGCTTAGTCAAATACACAATATAATTGACTACCTATATTTGATTCCTTAGAATTTCTTGGACTTAGAAATTTTCTCTTTAACTTAGAAAAAGAAATTTTGAAGAAAGCAGAAATACACAAGATGGGATTTGAACCCACAACCATGTGAATCTCAGTCACTCTTCCTTACCACCCAGCCACTGTGCTACCGATGCCGAACCTAGTTTGAACAATGAGCTTGATCCTGCAATGCCGTACAATGCGGTATAGGCTATATTATCGCCTTCTTAGTATTTGACCCCACTAATTTCCCTGATACCTAAGCGGTCAAATATATCGCGTATTTGACTGCTTAGTCAAATACACGATATATTTGACTACTTATATTTGACTCCTTAGAACTTCTTGGACTTAGAAATTTTCTCTCCAACTTAGAAAAAGAAATTTTTGAAGAAAGCAGAAATACACAAGATGGGATTTGAACCCACAACCTTGTGAATCTCACTCACTCTTCCTTACCACCCAGCCACTGTGCTACCGATGCTGAACCTAGTTTAAACAATGATCTTGACTTTCAATGCAGTACAATGCGGTATAGGCTATAGTATAATACTAGAATTACAAGGATATGTCGTATATGAAGAGAAACTATTGCGTGGAGAACACGATAAATAGATTATAGACCTCATAGTTGGTCTATACAGGATATACAGACCTCGTAAAAGACCTCGGGGGACCTCGGTCTTTTACTCGGTCTCTATATCCTGTATAGACCTCCTAACCGGTCTATAATCTATACTTATCGCCTTCTTAGTATTTGACCCCACTAATTTCCCTGATACCTAAACCGTCAAATATATCGCGTATTTGACTGCTTACATTTGTATTCAAATACACGATATATATTAGGGGTGAAAGTTGGCACTGAGATCCCGAGTTCGAGTACTCTTCATCTCCTAAAAATTGCACACCAAAGGCTTTAAAATAACATGATTCAACCCTGATTGAACCGAGTAGCAGTCATTTTTCTCGGGTATATTGGTTGGTGGGTCATTTGGGCTCTCTCTACTCGTGAACAAATGTTCACCACACAGCCTGCACATCACCATCTGCCGACTGCTGCCCTGAAACTGCAGATTTCTGTAGTAAATGCATGTACGTATGAACGAGTACTCTGATTTATTCCGAGTACTATTTTTTTGGAAAAAACCGAGCGAGTACTCGAGTACTCGGTATAATTGTTTCACCCTTAATATATATATTTGACTACTTATATTTGACTCCTTAGAACTTCTTGGACTTAGAAATTTTCTCTTCAACTTAGAAAAGAAAATTTTGAAGAAAGCAGAAATACACAAGATAGGATTTGAACCCACAACTCTTCCTTACCACCCAGCCACTGTGCTACCGATGCTGAACCTAGTTTAAACAATGATCTTGACTTTCAATGCAGTACAATGCGGTATAGGCTACAGTATAATACTAGAATTACAAGGATATGTCGTATATGAAGAGAAACTATTGCGTGGAGAACACGATAAATAGATTATATACCTCATAGTTGGTCTATACAGGATATATAGACCTCGTAAAAGACCTCGGGGGACCTCGGTCTTTTACTCGGTCTATATATCCTGTATAGACCTCCTAACCGGTCTATAATCTACACATACATGTCAAACAAGTAACGTAGTTGCGTGATGTCAGCAATGTACATGTATGAGCTAAAGTGAAAGTAGTACATGTACATGTTTTGCAGGGTCGTGGGCAACTGGCCATGACCACTCGTGCGCGCCTGCGTCACGGCCCGTGGGCATTTCCCAAATCGGCCGGTCGAAACATTGGCCGAAAATAGTGGTTTTGAAGAAATCATCGATCTTTTAGCCGAATACGCAATTTTCGCACTGAATTCGCCGAAAATTGATGTTTTAGTGCCTCAATAGGATGCAAATACAATTTCTGTAGCCATTATCTGCGAAAGGTGGCTGCGACTTTAGAGCCAAATTTCCACCTTTTACAGAAATTTCCAGCCGATTCTGGCGATTTTGTCAGCCGATCGAAAAGCCGAATAGGCCAAAATAAATGGCCGATTTGGGAAAGGCCTATTGGCAAGGTGTTCGTCTGAGGGTCATATCAATGTACGTGTATCAATGTAACATCTGCATGATTCAGCTCGGGCTATATATGCGCTACGGCAGGCCAGGATCCTAGGAGCAATTCGCATGCCTGGCTTTTGTAAAAAATAAATAATAATAACCGCACCATGATCGGAAAAATTTTAGGGGGTTCGTTCAAACCCCTCGAACCCCCCCCCCCTTGATCCGCCCCTGCACTGTATCTATAAAACTTATTCGATAACGTGATCTTTGGACTCGCCTCCAGGGATTTGTCGTAAGCTGGGGCACGCGTACGTGAAACGAGTGGCAAGAAAGGCCCAGTTTGTACAAGGGAGTAGTAAAATACCAGTATTTTTCTACTAAAATACCAGTATTTTTCTACTCCTATTTTCTCACGCCGAGTCCTCTGTGCACTAAGTGCAGGTCTCTTGCCACTCCCTGGTTCCCGGGACCCTGGTTCACGTGATTGTGACGTTTATCGAATAAGGTCTATAACCATCCCACACTGCTGACACGGAATGACAAGTACACTACCCAGGCCGTACCTCTTAACTTCAACACAATCAATGAGCGCCAGAGGTTAACCACATCCAGGATTCTGGCACGGAGACAATCCCACAGCCAGATACCCGAGATGAACGATTCGTCGACCGTGAAGAGGGGCACTGAACGACTTCTTCGCGGGAGTTGAATCCAGTGGCGTTGGTGGTGGAGATCGCCCTTTCCATTTTTCAGGAACTCGATCGATCATTTGATCTTGCGAAGCGTCCCCCTCCTCGGCTTCTTGAATCGTCCAGTACGCAGAATGCAAGGTCGCGTCATGGGTGACGGATTACTGTCCCGCATCTTCATCTCCATGACACGTCAGCAGGAGAACCAAGCTATCCAAAAACCGCCAATGTCAAAACAAATCCGCCAGTAGTAGTGGCTGAGCTTCTTCCTCAAATCTTGTCTCGACCCGAGCACGCGCTGCGAGGTCATGGGCAAACTACTTACTCGATTGTGCATGATCGCGCCCCATTTTTCCACTCCGAAAGGCATTATTTTTCAGAAAAAAAATTGGAAATCCAAAATGGCGCTAACCGTCGCGAACCCCCTTAATAGCAAACCCTTTAGAGATCTGCCCTGTAATGTATTCTTTCTTGGCACTTCTCAAATCTGACTTGATTGGAATTTTCCATTTGCTTGGAGCTCCGTTCACAAGGCCATAGCAGGAAATTCCTCTTACTAAAAGTTAAACTAAATCTTGAAGCTCAAATCAATTGTCACCACTATACAATCTTAATCAGAAACACACAGGATATCTTACCGCATTTGCCCATCACAGTCACCGTGCCAAAAATGTCGCAAGTCGCCTTAGGTGCTTGTGTGGCTGTATAGCCACCGTTACAAACTCCCCTCAGTTCATTGTTTCCAAATGCGGAATTGAATGTATCTCCCATAAAAATTCCGTTTGGTAAACTTGGTTTTTGACATATCTTGGCTACCAGCAACACAGTTCAGAGGGAACATATAGAAAATATGTTGGTGGGTTGTTTGGTTGGTTTATATGCTACTTCCCAGTACAATTCAAAACCTGCGCTCAGAACTATTTGAAAGTACAGCCACTTTTGCAAACAATGGGGTTGATGGGAGAAAGGTGTGCGATACACAACATCCCTGTGTCTTAGTACGGAGCCTTTACCCAACTACAGCAGGTAGCTATAGTGAGGTGGTCCAAGACCATGATTGAGAAATAGAGGGTACCAGGTTCAAGTCCTTCTTGGAAGCAGAAGAGCTTTTTTCCAGCCGTGCTGCGACCCAGACTTAATTGGGAACTTGTTGCCTGGAATGAGGGAAGCAGTGTTGCAGTGCATGGGATTTTCGTCATGGAAAGTTGCATGATTCAGGCAAATGGTTCACTTTGCTCAGGAACACTGATCTCGTATTAATATTGCTGCCTCGCAAAAAACTGACGGAGACGTTGTGAAGGTTTATCAATTGATCAAGGAAATGTTTTTCAAAACGAAAAACGAAAAAGCACCACTTTATCTCCATGGATATCTGTGTATTTCCAAGTGAAACGTGCCATGCATGTGTAATGCACATTCTTTCCCCTTGCTCGACTGGGCAAACCTTGCTCACACCTAAACACCTACTCACTCTAAAACCGGATTTGCTAATCTATCATACCCCAGAGGTATTTGTTTTACAATTTTAGATAGAGTGAAATTACAAGACAAGCAGGATAGTTCCTCAACATCAAATGCTAGATCAAGATATAGCAGCATTGTGCGCAGCACAGCCCTGAATGGAGTGAATGCCCCACCGGCCTCTCGGTGGGTCAAGTGGCTGTTTTGCGGCGGAAGATGATGACAGAAGGCACAGGCAACATCAATGTTCATGTTCAACAGGTATGGCGGCGTGGTGTGGCTGTGTGCGACGGGCTGGCAGGACAGTGATTGCCTCAGGGGCCTTTGGATCTGCTGCTTGGGGGCTGCTGCTTGGGTCTGCTACGTTGGCTGCTTTGTTCTTTCCCCGTCACGTCACTGTGGGACAAGTACAGTCAGCAGCAGCAGTATTTTTTGTTTTTTTTGTGGCACATGCAATAACTAAGGGTGCTTTCTTAAATCCTCTGGGAAAAGCTGGAGACTCTCGGAAAAGCTGGAGACTCTCGGAAAAGCTGGAGACACTCGGAAAAGCTGGAGACTCTCGGAAAAGTTGGAGACTCTCGGAAAAGTTGGAGACTCTCCAAAAAGTGCCAGAGCTGTTCTTTGTTGTTGTTGTTGTTGTATACTTTATTTATAGTGGAAATCAAAACAGGCAAAATGCCTAATAACATTGGACCCACTGTGAATAACATGGAAAAGGATATTGTGGAGAAAAAAAAAAAAAAAAAAAAAAAAGTAGATACAAGAGAAAAAGAGAAAGGAAAAAATGACGGAAGGTTGGTTGCAACGAACAGATATCAATCCAGTAAGCATTGGAAAACCTATGTCGCTGATAATATATACTGCAAGGCTTGAGCGCACATCGGAGCGCTTCAGCGATTGTTTTAATGGATAGCTGGGAGTTTTCTCTTTGACTTACATATTTTAGTTTTTGGATATAACCCAGAAATGACTGAGTTACGATCGATTGAAAATTTGAAAAGTTTCGATCCCAGGGGATCGAAAGTTGTACAGTCCGTACACAAAGGGTTAAAATCCAAATACCTATTTGAACATTTTGCTGCTGGTGGCAATCTATTCCACATAATGGCTCCAGCGTGCGTTAGGCGCTTAGCAGAACGAGCAGTGCTAGCAGGTGGGACCACAAGCAAGTTGCTTTGGCCTCCCCGAGTGCGAGTTGAGGGCACGACAGCAAAAAAGGACTCAAACAGGGTGCTGCATGCATCATGCAAACATCGCCAGATGAAACACAACATATTCAAGTGCACAGAAACCTGTAGATCACATACATGCATTCGATTTAGCAGGGGAGCAGTACTGGTCCACGGTGGCGACTTGCAGACTGCCCGAGCGGCACGTTTGAACAGCCTATGTAGCCGTTGTTCCTGGGCAACTGTCAAATACGGGTAGTAACTAATAGAAGCATACAAAAATTCAGGCAAAACGATAGATCTGAAGTAGGTGAGTCGGCATGGATACGGCAGCGAGAAAGCATGTCGCAGCAGGACAGCAATTTTGCCGCAACACGACGAGCAACATGGTCCACCATTGTGGTCCAACTCATGTCCGAGTCAAAATGCAGTCCAAGGTATTTGGCAGATGTGACTACTGGTAGGACTTGTGAATTGCATACAACATTGATGTCGAGGGCTGCAGCTCTATGGTGTGGTATGGCGAGTATCTGCGTCTTGGTCTCGTTAAGGATCAGTCCACGTTTATTCAACCAAGTGGCCAGGTACTGAACTGCTGCAGTGAGGCGCTGGGAGACAACTTCTGGCTATGGACTGCTCGCACGCAGCGAGATGTCATCAGCAAACTGAATAGTGGTGACGTCATGAGGGGCAAGGTCGCCGGCAATATCCCTCACATACAGAACGAAGAGCAAAGGTCCGAGAACTGACCCCTGAGGAACCCCTGACTGGCTGTCATAAGTTGTACTTCTGGTTTTTCCTGTCTCCACGTATTGCCGGCGATACATCAAGTAGTCTGAAAACCATTGCAAAGCAGTGCTAGTGAGACCCAGTTCAAAGAGGTCCTCAACCAGAATGCTATGCTTTACCTTGTCGAAAGCTTTAGACATGTCGACAAATGCTACTCCTGTGTGCTGCCCAGCGGCTTGTGCTTCATTGATGTTCTCTACAGCTAGCGCTAAGGCATCTGCTGTGGAATGCTGGTGTCTGTAACCAAACTGACTAGTAGGCAAGAAATTGTTCGTGTTGAGGTACTGCAGAAGCTGCTTATGAACAATACGTTCAAGCACTTTCGACACTATCGGCAATAGGGAGACTGGTCGGTAATTCTTGGGTTGGCTGGGGTCTCCAGCCTTGAACAGAGGCCGTATCTTACCCACCTTCATTGCCGCAGGAAACTGTCCTTCTCTCAATGACTTATTAAATAGTAGCGTGAGTGACGGTGCCAGGATGTCAGCATGCATCTGGAGGAGACTTGCTGGAATATCATCACTCCCAGTGGCTTTTCTGGTGTCCAACTGTTCCAACATTTTCCGAGTAGTTGCAATGGAGACTGGCAAGAATTCCGAGAAGTGCACCGCAGGTGGAGGCCCAAGGGGTAGGCGTAGCTGTGCAGGGCGAGCTGGATCTTCCACAACTTTCGAAAAAGTGTCTCGAATCGCATCCACCGTGCACTGTGGATCCCTGTACGTCGACTGTTTGCCTGTCAACTCCTTGATTATTTTCCAAGTCTCTCTGGCATTTCCAGTACATTGCTGAAATTTGGAGTTGTAGAATTCCTGTTTCCGGGTCCTGTTGTAGCTAGTTGCCGCACGTCTGGCTGTACTAAATTCAGAATAAGTCTCCTGTGTCTTAGCAGAGAGCCACTTTCGGTGCAACCTATTCCGCTTGTGTAATAAGTACAACAATTGCCGGTCAATCCACGGCACTGAAGGCTTCTTCGTTCTGTGATTACTTTGAAGTGGGGCATGGACATCCAAAACCTCAATAAACCGGCTAGACCACTCGGTCCACATGGCGCTTGCGTTGCCGGTAATACTACACAAGTTCTTCTGGGTTAAGTCACGCCGGAAGTGATCGTGGTTTATCCGGTGATAGTTGCGGTATAAACGTGTGGTGTCAGATCCACGAGGCACAATGAGGTGAAAGTCACTGGCCACGGCAGCATGGTCACTGAAAGCGACCGGGATGATCTTCGCTGTAGTGGAAGGATCAAAATTGTTCAGTATCAAATCGAGGGTGCTGTCTTGTCCTGTTGAGCTAAATCGCTTCTTATATCCTCTCCGACTTTTAGGAGGCTCTCCAAAGCTCTCCAAGCTTCAGACGTGGTTGAAACTTGGAGATTACTGCGGTTTGGGATCAGCGCATGCGAACTACGGCTAAAAGCCACGTGTTCGTCATGAGTGTACGCATTTCCCTTTTCGAATACGCACATACATTCATCATTCAAGATCGCGGCCCCTTTGGCGCTTCACTTTGCTTGACATGTGCAAAATATCTTCGAATTCTTCGAGACCCTTTCTTGAGTAATCCCAGTTTCTTCGACTTCTCTTTTCTTCTTCTTCTAGAAGCTAGAGAATATAAGAACGCACCCTAACTTTTCTGGTGTTAGACTGACTGCTGTTTTTTGCCCCCCCCCCTTTTCACACGTGCTACATGTTCCTGTCCCAGCCATGAGCGCGTGTCGTTATCACCTGACCTTTTTATCACTTTTTATCACTTTTGTCACTAGGGTATGCCACGTTTCTTTGCCGATTGAGCGCAATTGCGTAGCCGTGTAAAGATCAGTCTACTCTTATTATGCTTTCATTCAACATCATGCCTCCACTCATGAGCTCAGGAGGAGCGAAACAGCTGTCTAGAGGGTCATTGTTAATATCAATTTATACACCGGAATTGTCCTCGCTGTGATGATGGTGATATGAGTGCAGAGTTTGGATCGGCCAAGAGCGCAATGTGGTGGTGTGGTGTATTGGATTTCATAATGGCCGAGTCGTCGCTACTTCTTCTCAGTTTACATACTGGTGTTTTATGTACTCAAAGGGTGACATCGTATGAGAACCATAATAAACAATGCAGACAACAGCAGAATTTTCGCCCGATCATGCGCTCACAGTTCTGTATGATGTTGAGTGAGTTGACGGAGAAAATGCCCCAGGGGCGTCTTGCGAACTTGCAGTACTGTGTTGGAGCGCAAAAGTCTGAACTGTCTCCCCGTTTTTTTCAGTATGCTACATTGCTGTATCTCAGAGTGCTAGAATCTGTTGCGTAAGTATCGATGATGCCCGCAGTACACTAATGGCATGTAGGAGTGTCATTTTGCACCATATGTAAGCACTTAGTCCGTCTTAGCCTATCTCGTATCTCCAAGCGCGGGATCACAATTCTTCGCTTCATTCTATGTATAAATATGTGACTTCAAATTAATGCTAGCCATTCTTTATTCTCAATCTCCACTGATCAGACCTTAGTGATTCAAACAATGCTGCCTGGAGGAAATTATATCTGGCAGTATATACAACTTGGAGTCATGTTGCTGATGTCATTGTCGGCCAGAGAGCGCATATGGAGGAGGTGGAATTGCTTCATCAATGTTCATACTAACTGATTATACACTCCTCAGTGCGAAGTCGTGTTTGAATGGACGTTCATACCGAAAGCCGATTTTCAACGCTGTTTCGACCACTAAGGTCTCATCAGTGAATATGATTTAGCTCTATCCACACCGAGGCGGATGGTTACAAATGGAACGCCGATGTGGTCTATTTGAAGCACGTCCGATTGTAATTTGTATTTTTCACTAACAATGAAATTAACACACATGCACACAAATCAGCCAGTTGCTGGGAACAAGCTCACGGGATACTGTTGTAACACTGATTTTGCAATTTGAAAACCACACAAGAAAGCTTACCGCATGTGGCTAGTGGGGTAGTAGTGGAAGGTGCTGTGATGCAAGTCACCTTCGGGTTACCATGAACCTCATATCCCTGAATACATGTCAAAGTCAGCGTATCAAGCAATTCTTGTTGAAGGAATACACCGTTGCTGTAAGACCCATGAGCTGGATCCTTAGGACGTAGACAAACTAACAACAGAGATCAAAGGGCAAAAAGAGGCTTGATGAGTGTTTCTAGTATTTCATGTTTGTTCTGTTTATGTTGGGTCGGGTATTGTTTGTTTTGGTTATGTTTGGTCGAGTATTGGTGCTTCCATGTACAGATTAGAATACTGCGTGATAGTGTGAACGTATTATGGCAAAAGGTACTTTTCTTGGCATCATGTCAAAAACTCGCCAGGAGTAGGAAGCAAGTTTTGAAGCTCTCAGTGTCGTGACTACTCCCCCCCCCCCTTCTCGAGGCATATATCAATAATTGATATTCTGACGAGAATTACCTGCCTATCATGGATAACTCCGCACCGCCAGGCAGCTCAAAGCGTCAGCCTCCAGAGCCACCGTGGAGGCTGAATTGTGGAGGCTGAAGGTCAATACAGTGATGTGTGTCGACGGCCTCACAGGCCAGAAAATCGTGGAAAATGGGGACACCCTCATAAACCAGGGGTAAGATGACGTCGCCTCCGGGCAGATTACTGGGTCAACTTGCAAGTCAAAATGTTTTAGCCAGACCTCTAAAAAAACCATTGTTGAACTTCGTCTCTTTCTTGGCAAATCTCGCATTGCTGTCCGCCATTGTTTCACTTCCTCACTGCAACTGCACATCTTGGACATCCCGATTTGGATATCCGATGCCGCCGTCATTCATGCACTCACGAAACACGGTACGGTAGAAGACACTATTTGGCACGGCCGTACCCGCACAAAGTCGGGTGCATTTGTCGGAACAGGCGTACGCTTCATAACTGTTTGCCTGAACAACGGCTGTATGCCGGTGCCAACATTCGTGCAGACAACCGAAGGCAATACCTTTAACGTGAAGCACGAGGAACAGGCACCAACTTGCCGCCCTTGCAACTCAGAAAATCACCTCGCCGGCACTTGTCTTACCTTTTAAAAGAGTCAGAGAATGAAGCCCACCTATGGACAGTAGGAGCCAACTTTTAGTGAAATCGGAAATTTGGCCATGTCGGGTGATATTGGGCCGTTACCGCCAAGTTATAATTGGCGCTTTAATATATTCGCACTTGATTTTTCGGTGTTCCGCCAATGTCATACGGCATGGAATAACCGATTCACCCTTCGAACATAACCAGTGACCATTGAATCCCACAACGTGGCAGCACAAACCATGACAAAAGTTGCGATTGGTTCGTTTGAGTCTTTTAAACTGGAGCTGCCACCAACGAATACCAGCAAATCGCTGACGAAGAAACTGCAGCTCATGTCGAAATCTCCCAAAAATGAGACCAATCCGGCGAACACACTCTGAAGCTCACAGATGTCCGGGCAAAGTATCTACTCAAAATAAAGCACCAAGTCTTGAGGGAAACTCTCGTGCAAAGGACTTTCAGGAAACTAGCCTAAAAGACTGGTGCAAGGCATTAGGACTTAAGTGCAGTATGCACAGGTGCTACAAAAAGCGGATGCTATCACTGTGCAGCATGTATAAGCACCAGCGGTTCACTTGGGTGAGGATCAGCAAATACGACAAGTGCAAGAGGCGATTTGAAAAAGGACACCGCCTATGTGGCGTTGCCTTTTTGTCTCAAACAAAGGCATTATTTTTACAGGCACGCACAGCCTTTGAGAGAGATCCGAGATGGGGAGAAGTGGAACAAGAAACGTGCAGCAGCGGTGCAGATCGAACGTTTGAGCTGTTCCTCCAGGAACGACAGTGGCGAAGAAGATATGTAACTTGCTTGAATCTTCGGCTGAGTTGCTTCCTGACATGTAAATGATCATGCACATTTGTGTTTTCTTCCTGAGACAAGTGTGAAGATAGGCCCCAATTGTGTCTGGAGGGATCAAGTAGGTAACTTGGATTGGTGAGCGAACATAGATGGTATGGTCCTTGGATATTGGCCATGATTGAAACATGGACAACTAAGTCGGCGAATAAGTTCCAATGAAGGATACACGGAGCAAACGGTTAAGCGAAGTCCGAAATTCGGCAATGTCCGGTGATTTCGGTTATTACAGACATTGACTGCGACACCTGCAGAGAGCATCCTGTTTCATCCTTTGAGGACCCATCAGCATAGGACAGAGAAAATCAAAATGAATGTATTGAACAAGTTATATTCGCTCAACTTAACCCTTTATGGGCAGCTACATTTTGTATATGATTTCCATCACATTTGAAACGATGTCAATATGTCGCGACGAAGGCACAGTTTGTATCCACAAGTTGCCTGGTACATGTACTACTTCTTGACCTTAGAAAAATTATGTTCACGAGCAACACACATACGCTGCTTAATTGGGACCTATACACGGAAACATGGAAATTGTACACATGCAGATCGTCAAAGTTCACACATGGGGATGATGCTGCCAAATGGGCCAAGCGCTGTGCCGCTGTGCAAGTCGTTGGTGACTATTGCGAATATCAGAAGTTGTGCAGCGTGAGACAAATATTGCATAGTAGGTATGCATTTCACCTTGTCTCGTATGGTGACTTATCACTCTCTTATTATTGACCCCCACAGAAACTTGTGATCTCTTAGCGGTCAAATATCAGCATATATTGACCGCTTATATTGACCACTTGTTATTGACCACTTAGCCCGAGGACTTAGAACTTTTTCCTCAACTTAGAAGTCAGAACTGAAAGAAGAAAAGTCTGAAGCCAAATGTTGGGGAACCTACTACAAGAGACAACTGAAAACTTCTGTTTACAGAGAAGTAATGTCCAATTTAAACGGCATATGTACATACTATGTACTATTACAATAGTACGGAGGTTCCGGAGTACGATTTTTCGTGCCAAAATCCGTGGAGGCTCTACGGATTTTTTATACGTCGTTTTCGAGCAGTGAAAAGTTCCGGGGTACGGAACTTATGTGTTTGCCGTCATTGCCTAGGTTACGATCGCAAACACGTCACATTCCCGCGCTATGCCTTTTTATTATGAAATTTTGTACCGAAATCAAAACTTCCCGCGAAAAATCGATGTTTCTCGTACCAAATTTGTACGCGAAAAATCTTTCTGCACCCGATGACGAAAAATCTCCATACGAAGCATGGTTCGTATGAAAGCCAGTCCACACGGATTCTCGTGCCGAAAAATCGTATGGGGCACGCCTGGAAAAAATCCGTAGCGCCCATACGGATTTTGGCATGGAAAATCGTACCCCGGAACCTCTCTAGTATTCCTTTCTTCCTATAAACAAAGCTTAAAACAGTTTAGGTATGCTATGTAATGATAAATCTATTATTGCCCTCATAATCGGTCAATATATGAAATATATTGACCTCTTTAATCGTGCAATAATAGATACATAAATGGCTGTATCCCGCGAAATAATAGCGTGCACAAGCATCTTGCCAAATGTCGAACCCAGATCAGGTATTACCCCCCTTACGGTAATACCGTTACAACATAACAATTTATGCTAAGGGTATCAAATGACTCTGAAATCTGGAGACAGCATGCTGTTTCGTCCTTTGTGGACCCATCAGCACAGCACAAAGAAACTCAAATAATAATATATTATGTGCATGTTATATTTAATCAACTTACTCCTCTTCTGAATGCAGGCTACATTAAATTCGTCCATAGGGTCCACAGCAAGCATTTTAGCAAATCCATTAGAGGCAACCCAGTTTCCCAAAAATTGACTACTAGTCCAGAAATGTAGTTGTCCTTCGGTATTTTTTAACTGGGTGGAAAGCTTCTTCATGCAGGGTTCCTCGTTGAGGGTAGGTAAACTGGCGCCTCTATCAGTGCAAAATTTCTTGGCACTATCGTAAACCAGTGTATCCCGCGTGTGCATAAAAAGCACTCTGTTGGCATCACAAACATGATGAGATTCACCCTCTACGAAACCAAAAATGGAAGTGTACCCATAGGTCAGTTGCCATGGAGAAAAACTTATACAACGGGGAAACATATTTGCATATGAAGAGACGAAGGGAGTTGTAAATCTGATGAGTCCTTTTGTATAATCATTTCTCAAATCTGAACTCGGATGGTGAGCCAATATAGTTATGATGAAGAAAGGAAAAGGACTGTATAAGATCGGGTTACGTTGGTGGACAGTTTGTCATAACTTGTAACATTTTGTCCTTTTCCTTTCTTCATCATTAATGAGAAATTTTCTCAAATCGGTTAATTTTAGGGTTGAAAATGAGACAAAGCACACCAATGTCAATTTACACAGCATATCGGCGGAAGAATGGTGTTGAAACGTACACAGGCTAAATGATGGTGTGAGTTGCTCGAAAGAGCGCAATAATTATAACAAACTTGGCAATGTAAAACCCACTAGCACCTGCGCGAGAATCTTTTTAAAACAGCTTTAGAGTATACTTACAAACTGCAATGAGGCAGGCAGGGGAAACCATCACTTCTGTGCTTCATATAAATTATCAAAATGTGACGTCAAAGTTTGAGCTGGCTCGAAAAGATTCTTCATGTCCAAGGAGTTTCTAGTGTCTTCAAGTGAGTTGGGTCAATTGATTTTAGTGCTAGGTGAGAGGTAGAGTTTAGTCTCAAAGTACCACACTAAGAATGACTCTTAAAATATGCAATTGTGTTTAGTTCCTTCTGGCTTTTAGCTCTTTGTAGGACTAATGGTTTCAACCCATCATCACTTAAATCAGTAATTCTTAGTGTGGTACTTTGAGACTAAACTTGACCCAACTCACTTGAAGACACTAGAAACTCCTTGGACAAGAAGAACATCCACTCGAGCCAGCTCAAACTTTTACGTCACATTTTGATAACTCTTAATAATATGGAACTGTGTATATAACCTTCTGGCTTTTAGCTCTTGTTGCCAAATTTATAGGACTAATGGTTTCAACCCATCATCATTTAAATCAGTAAATGTCTTTAACGAGCAAAAATCTCCGGACATGGCCAAATTACCGATTACCGAGTTGGC